TTCAGGTTCGTCAGGCTCACCGGTTCTCACTGTGTTTCGGAAGCAGGACCGACGGTCATCCTCATGACAGGCGCCAGCACCTCTAAGCATAAACTGTTCCTTCGGTTTTTTTAGCTTTTGAATTTGAAAAGTACTTTTGAAGAGTCCCGCTTTAAGAACTGCGAATTTTGCTACCAAAAGTCTTCACCACTGTGTTCTTAAGTGAGTGTTAATTTTTGAGGTTTGGGACTTGGTGGTGTTTTCTTTTCTTTTCCTTTCTCACTTCTTTGTATGTGATTTGCTGTAAATGCTGCACATCCAGATATGTATCAGAAGGACACTGGTTATTTTTATGATTTCTTGGGTATAGCCGTTATCAGAGTGCCACAGCTAGCACCTCACTGTTTGCTCTCCTCCAAATCAACTGCTGTTAATTTCCAATTAAGCAAATTGTTTTGAGCGTTCACTGTTGTCTTTCTCAATATACAGTCATTTGAAATAAAATTCAATTTCAATGAGTCACTTTTGTGATTATTGTTACTGCTTAGCCGAGCCACACAGACATATTAATAGGACTTTCTGAGAAGCAGGTTTTTGCCAAGTCTGTGCAACTTTAAGTTAATCTTCCTAAAGTGCAGATTGTTCATCATAAATAACAGTAGCTCTCATCTGTTGATTTATTTGCATACCTTCTTTCTTTCTCCAAGTGGAAATGTTTAAACACACATAAAGTAGAGAAAGTAGCATAATGAAAGATGTCCCGACATCACCCAGCTTTCAAAAATTATCAGCTCACAGTCAGTTTTATTTCATCTTTTGACCCACCTTCACTTCTTTCATACCTTCTCCTATCACTGGATTATCTTAAAGTCATTTCTGACACCATATCATTTCATCTGTAACTATTTCTGTGTGTACCTTCAGGAGATAAAATAGCCTTCAGTACCATTATCACACTTAAAAATTTACCAATATTTCCTTAATATCTAATATCCAATGTTCCAAATCAACTGTCCCATATATGTCTTTTATAGTTGACTTGTTCCAGTTTCCGTATAAAGTCTGCACTTTGTATTTGATTGCAGTGTCTCCTAAATCTCTTTTAAACTATGAGTTCCTCTGCTCCCTATTGTTTCTTGCTGTGTATTTAATGAAGAAACAGGTTGATTTACCCTAAAGTTGCCCCACAGTCTGGATTTGGCCGACTGCAGCCTTATGGTGTCCTTCAACTTGTTTCTCTGTCCCTGGTATTTCCTATAAATTGGTGCTAGAGGCTTGATCAGGCCGATCCTGAGCTTTTTGGCAGGAGCACTTCACAAGGGGGACTGTGTGCTTCCTGTCACGTCACCTTGGAGACACATACGGGTGGTTGTGTCTAAGCTGGCAGTGCCTGGGTGGGTCCAGGTGTGGTAAGCCCAATGCAGTCCTGAGAAAGCTCCCCTGCTGGTTCAACTGTGACTCTTAATTGTTGCCCAGATGCTTTGTTTCATTAGGGTTGAAGGACATTGATTTTTTTATCATTCCTTCTGCATTCACTAGCTGGAATTTACCAATTTAAAAAAAAAAAAAACTTCCTTATCAACTACTTGGTTTCTCTGAGGTACAGTATGGACAGGAAAATAAGCATCGGTTCTTTCCCTGTTTGCCAGATTTCAGAACACAGAGTTGGCCAAGCTCTCTGGTTTCCTTCTCACCACAGCCCTGGTTACACTGACTACAGGCTCCACCAGCCACCGCCAGCCCCATCCAGCCTCTATGTGGCTCACACACAGGTCTGGTCTTGTCACTTGCCTGTGTATGAACGCATGGAGGCCTCTGTTGTGGAAATTAGACCACAGGTTCAGAAATTCTGAATAAAGCTTTTACTATTTCCTGCAGATCTACACACAAGAAGAAACTAGGGAAGCAACCTCCAGTCACAACCAGCGACTCCTTTACCTCAGTTCTTGACACATGAGCTTTATGGGTTCCTTTTGATTCATGATTGACCCAGGGTCTGTCCCCCATCCCAGAAATTACCCTGGGGTCCACAGGAGAAAGACCTTGTACATTAAGTATATATTCTTACAGAGTATATTTGATTAGGTTTTGCATATATATCTTGAGAAGGGAGGAGTAACAGTAAACTAGGTATACAGGGGAAGAGATATTTGAATATACATTTTAAAAACAAGGAAAGCCAGGCGCTGTGGCTCATGTTTGTAATCCCGGCACTTTGGAGGCAGAGGTGAGAGGATTGTCTGAGTCCAAGGGTTCGAGACCCGCCTGGGCAACTTGGCGAGACCTCATCTCTACAATAAATCAAAAAATTAGCCGGGCATGGTGGTGCGTGCCTGTAGTTCCAGCTACTTGGAAGGCTGAGGTGGAAGGATCACCGGAGCCCAGTAGGTCGAGGCTGTGGTGGCTGTGAGCTTGCCCCTGCACTCCAGCCTGGGGGACAGAGTGAGACTCCAACTCAAAAAATAAATAAATAAATAAATAAAACAAGGAGAGTCGCAATTAGCAAAGTAAAGTACACTCTGAAAGGAGAGTCAGCTGTGTGTTTCCAAGGAGGGAGTCTATTCTCAGTTTTTACCATGTGAGACATCAAATGATTATTATGGGATGGGGAACGATTCCAACACACCCTCAGCACCCCCACCCCACGGCCCCTCAGTCCATCGCTCCCCTCCTTCCTTCCTCGCTGCCTGTGTTCCAGCCACACCACTCCCCAGGTGGGTCCTCTCCACGCCTCTGTGCCATTACGTAAGTTGTGCTTTGGGCTTGGTTGTCCTTTCCCACATCTGTCTCCTCTGCGTTTCTCAGACCCTTCCCTACTTTCTCTGAGGAAGAATGAATCCCTTAGTTCGTTGCACCCACCCGTGGCAACACTGACTGCACTACATGATAGCCCTTGGTGTCTGAGCCTGTCCTCACCAGGCCCTAATCTTCCGGGAAGCAGGAACCATAGGCTTTCACCTCTCTACCCCCTCCTGGCAGACCTCCTGGCACAGAATGCACTCTATGAATACTCACTGGTGGTGAGTTGAGCGTTTGGGCTTAAGCAGAACCAATCCATGGCAGCTTATCAGACTTGGAAGTTTGCCCTAGATTCCCCAAAGAAAAGAAATGAGTACTGAATTTGAGAGATATATTCCAACATTTCAATTTTATTGTATTTAAGAACATACTTTTAGTCTCAAGTTTTTAGGAATGCAAAATCCATTTTGTAGAATTCATCCAAATAAATGACTCAAGTCCCATGTAGCACAAAACACCTTTCCCAGGTGGCATAGATGGGTTTATTTAAAACCTCTTCTTCTTTCTTTTTATGACTTTACTTTTAATTTTTTGTTGTTGTTGTTTTTTTAGTTGGAGTCTCACTCTGTCGCCCAGACTGGAGTGCCATGGCCGCTCCCGGTTTTGCCTGTTCCAGAATGTCATATTCTTTTAGTTTTGAATAAGTAAATACACATTTCAAAAGTCAAAAGCAAAAAAGGACAAAAAACACAAAAACCAAAAGAATACACAAAGGTACCTTTGGGAACCCTTCCTCATCACTCCCCAGTCCAGCTGCTCCCCATTATCCTCCTACCCCAGAGAAATCACTTATATTCATTTGTTAGCCTTTGTCTAGCATTTATTTATACAAACAAAAGCAAATGTAGTTCCTTTCTTTCTTACATAATTAATAGCATCCTATTAGAAGCATACCGTATGCACTTATCTATATTTTTGTTCTCAGATGTTTACATTTTATTTACTTAAAATTTACTTGTTAATATCATTATGATCTGCATATTCCAAAGGTACCATTAAAAGTTTTTTAAATAAAAGAAACTGTGAAAGCACAAATAATCCAGTTCTGAGAATAGTGACAGGCTAAGAAAATTAGAAAATGTTAGAGCTTGTTCAATTCGAAATCCCTATGTACAATTACTTAGGCTTGTTAAACTGAAGTTGAGACAGAAAGTCACTCTGCTTGTACACTTTGAGCTCATGCTTCTCTATACCAGAAATGGAACATGATGCTACCTTCGGAGATTTTAATTAATCTAGGGAACACTGCTAGCAAAAGAGCTGCTGTCCAAATAGACTGACACACACAGGCCAACGTAGCCCCTAATAGCAAAGTAATATAATGACAGGCCCCACTCAAAATCAGCAGGAAGAGGAAGATCAATCTCGGCAAAGTGAAGGAAAAATGCTGGCTTTCTTCGTGTTAGCTCATCTTCTACATATCTAGCTTCAGCAGCTGCCCAGTGCTGTGGTGCTCTGTGTTAACTACACAGTGGATCAATAACAATTACCCCTTCTCAAAAACATGACACATAGCAGGACTGGGTTGACATTTCACTTAGCCCAACATCGATCGCAGTGCATCTGATTCCAGCCCTAAATTCAAGTCAGGCCTGGATTTACTTGGAATAAACACAGAGTTAGAGACAGAAAAGGAAACCAGCTGCTTGCGTCTGGGCCTGGAAGTAAACACCACTTCCACTGGTGCAGTCCACATTTTCAATCCACTCTTCCTGTTGCTACCTGCAATTCTGAAGTTGATCAAAGACTATTTTTAATATATTTACCGTGACATCAATGTTGACAATATCTCCATCCCGAAGAGGTCGACTGTCAGGGATACCATGACACTGCACATTGTTGACAGAGGTACAGAGATTTTGGAAAACCCACATAGCCTAGAGGTGGGTGATAGGCATTATGAATGATGAGTTCCTGATGAAGGAGAGCATCTCTCTCTTCAGCGGTCACGTCAGCCTTTAAACTCTTCCCAGCCAGGAGGACGACATGATGGGCCAGTTGACAAGCCTGGCGAAGCCTTGAGTCTGATCTTCATTCTTAACTTCTACGCTGTCTTCCCCAGTGGGGACGGTGCCTGTCATCACACAGTCTGGCTTCTTTATGTGCTCGGGGACTGGACGAGCTGAAGAAACTGCAGCCGGCAAAACTGCACTGTGTGAAAGAGCTCTTTGTCTCAGAAAAAAGAAATTTCTTCTTTAGGACTGCTTGCCTGCTTGTGTAAGTAGATACGGTTGAGTGGTGAAAAGGAAATTCTATAGCAACCTCTGCCGATGAGCAGGTGGCCACTGCCGGGCACCGCCATGTTGGCGCCAGTCGCGTGGCCACCTCACCTATCTCGATGTTTTTTCTTTTTCCTTAATTTATGCTGGAGCTCTTTCCAGAACAATACAAAAGTGCCCTCATTCATTTTTCACTGCTGAATA